ATTTGGTGATTATTTTGACACTGTATATCTGTTGCGCTCTTGCTTTTACTGATAATATTATGATATGCGAATATTTTTCGGATATTTTTCTGTTGTGAAAACACACTTATTGAGTGTTAGCACGCTGAGAAGCGGTGCTTTCTTGTCTGCATCTCAGTGTTGAATAACACGACTCTGATATAGTAACATTAGTACTCAGTGTTTGGAATGAACCATGGTAGTGAGAGTTAAGACATTACAAAACATCTCTGAGCTGATACTATTTGAAGGCTGTCGAGAGATGAGCCTCGAAGGAGCAATACTCAATATTCTTCTGTGCACAGAATTTATAATTTTATGTTCCAATATGGTTCGATCGAGGGTTCGATATAAGTACTCTATATAGCTTCGCAATCTCAAAATCATCATATATAATTGATGATTAAACTTTCCTTTAAAAGTGTCCAATTTGGCCCACCCTGTACAACAACGGTGATAAAACTGCACCTTGAGGAACACCATCTTCAATGGGCTTGATACCAGATCGTTGATCATCAAGTTTCACATGAATGTACGATTTTTCAGAAATGAACACATCATATGAATCAAATAATCAGGAAAGCCCATATCTCATGGCACACCTTGTTAAATGTTTTCCCTATGTCAAGAAGAGCAAAATGGGACTTTGGTCCACCATTTCACAACGATATTGTGTCTCCAATGAGTCTCAGGACTTGAAGTTCAGTTAAGTGGATAGTTCTGAAATTGAACTGCTCATCTGGTATCAGCTCGTTGTCGTCGATAAATTCCAGTAACCTCTGTGTAATCACTCGCTCAGTAATCTTTGATAGAAACTCATGGGACCATAGCTCTGGCCCTGTTTCTTAATCATTACTATACTTCGGCATCTTTCCATCTTGATGGAGGAACATATAATAATTTCAATATAGCGTTGATGATTTTACATAAGTAACTGATGAAATTACCAGATATGAAGAAATGCTCAAACCTTGTTTAGTTTATTCGTTATCTTGTTTCAATGTGAAAATCATTGGCATCTGAAAACAAAGTATTTGTTTATTTTCATATTTTGGCGAAAGAACTTCAATCGGAGTTGGGCTTTCGCCAAAATATGAAATATTCTTGCAGTTACCCCTCGTATTGTCCTTATTTGTTTTTTTTTTTGGAAAGCACGGAATAGATTCCTTATGATGTTCAAGGAAATGAGGAAAGAAGTTAGGTAGTGGATTCCATTCAACTTTAAAAGGTTATGAGGTCTTGAGAATAATTATTTTGGCAAAGAATTCCGAAGCTTTGCCGTTCAATAGACAAACGAGTTTTGATGAAGAGTTGTTTGACATATCTTGAGGATTATGTGCTCATCGAGTTCGTATTTTTGGTATCGCTAGTGATGGAATGATATACAAGATTTATGAAGAACATTTCCCGTGGAAGTATTCATACAAAAGTGATTATAAGAAGCTGTTGAGGTGTAAAGTGGCATATTTCGCTGGAAATAAAGACAGTACTGTCATCTGCAAAGCTTTGGATAGGGCACAAAGGATCAGAGAGGTACATACGTTATGATGTTTTCGAGTATCCATCTGATGGCGTCAGGTTTCTGGATAGGGTATAATATTTCAATAATAAAACATGCTCAATTACTGATAGATCCTCATATTGTGATCGTAAATATAGCGGTAAACATAAAATTTTATTTTCTTCGAAACGACCAGATCTTCGATACGCAATTCTCACAAAAAATCACATTTCAGAACGAAAAATAATAAACCTGGATCCGAGAATATAAACTGGTACAGAGGTATATTATAGTAGATATTATGATATTCACCAGGACTATTTCATTCGGATTAATAGAAAAATTTACTAGACTGAAATAAACTTCAGTGTGATGAAAAATTCATTAGCGAAGGCAATCTAGATTAATTTGTTAGATAAGTGATTACCAATAATAATACAGAGAGATTACTCGTTCTGCCGGACTTGTGATGTTGCTGGGCAACAATTATTATCTCGAATATTACGAACATCGTGATATTACAAATGAAAATAAAATTGGTTTGATTCGATTCAACCTTTTATTTCGTTTGATGTTTTCCATACTATATAGGGTGTCTCAGGAATTAATTTTTTCCTCTAAGGAATATATAGATGAAGTCGAAATATCACCAGTATTTCATAAAATTATTTTTCCTAAAATACTTCGATACTAAATTATTGGACTTTGAAGTTACAAAATATTTTTCTTCGATAGCTCAACAAGTGAATATCGAAAATCATCCAATTTTTGGTGTTATACTAAACGAATGAATTCCTTTGATGAGCTCTCATGCATGAGTCAGTTGTTTAGCTACAATATCAGGAACGGACTGCCCCCAATAGTCCACACCCCAAAACCTGGAAATAGTCGAGACCTTTCAATATTTTTGAACAGAACAAGGTTTCCTGAATGATATCATGCATAAAAGTACTCTTGTGTAATGCCCATAAAATGAAGTTTTACTCTACGCTATACGACATCAAATCCGAGCGCCACCATTATCTGAAATGAAAAATTTTCAAAGCCGACATAATGTTGATTAATTTAATCCTGCTCATCGAAGAAATCAAACAAAACAAATTCTGGAAATTCAAAGAGATCCTCAATGATTTTGGGTATCGTTTAGTGATAAGCATTTCCTTTGAAATTTGATAATAACTACTCTGGAACTGGTAGGTAATACACTCAACAAGTTGAAAAGTACTTACCGAGTTATATGTTCGAAAATTTTGTGAATATTACCGTCACGCTAGCTCTCGCACTACTAATCACCAAATGGAATGAGAAATGAGGATGTTTCGAAAACTAAATAGCCAGACGTGCCATTATAACTTATGGAAAGTTTGGTGAACTTCACTTCATTCATGAGTAAATTCATACAGAGTACATAGCGGTACACAAATATCTAAATGAATGCTCGGTATTTCCATCAGTAAAATACTCTAAATCTTGTAAGATCCATCGCGAGAGCTGCTTCAAAATAATATGGTTCTTTATTCCAAGCGAATATCTACTTCACGCCATATAACAGCTTCTTATGATCCACAAAAAAACGTCGATGCTTTTGGATTCCATTCAGAATGGTTGATGATGCCACACTAACTAATTCCTCGATATCGATGGCGGCCTTCCACTTGAAAACTCACAACTGTAATTGCACTGCAGAGCAAAGCTTGCACTGCCAGGACGAATAAATGAAAATCCGGAGGTTATGCTTTCCCCTGGTAGAGGGTTGCAGTTACGGAGACAAGTCGTTCCTCCTCGGATCAGAAATCAACATGTTCGAGCATTTTTCCGGATTATCATTTGAAAGCCCTAAAATCGCGGTGTAAAGTTTTCGTTGGACCACCCTGTATAACCTACAGTACCTAGTAATTTCATCTAAATACTAGGGAATGTTTCCTTCATTGGATGAAATAACCGTTTCGCCAATTTCCATAGCCTTCACCTTCAACTTTTAAAAATAGACACTTTTTTCCAGAGTCGCGCCAACCAAAATCCATCAATCAACGACTATAGTTGAAAAGTATATTGTGCTTCAACCAAACCGCATTCTGATGACGAATCCGATGAATCGCCATGTTGTGATATGACATTCCTAGGTGTTCCATTCAATTACTGTGTGATCTGAACTCATTCGCAAACAATATACTCAAACTTTGTTCCAGTGTCGCCTTGTTTTAGGCTTATTTGTATATTATGTACATCTGTCAAAACCTAAACCGTTTATGGTCTATCTCATGTAAGTGAAAATACAATTTTTGGTTCCCTCAACCATGTTCAGTAGTTGTTTCGAAAAGAAGTAATAATAAGAACCAAAAAGAGATGACATTGTTCTTTATTTAGGTGATTATGTATTGTCCATATCTCTATCTATAGATTGTAACAACCTTTTTATCTTACAGTGCCCTGAAGATGTCAAAATAAATTGACGAAACGTTTGCTTTCACGAAATATAGTTTTTTTTACAATCTAGAACCTAATTCCAAAAAACAACACCACAGTCATCTTTCAAAAGGTCGTAAAATAATTGAAATATACTCATTATCTTCTTCACATTTTTCAATATCTCGTGAATTTTCAATCTCTATATAACTTACAACCCATTTTCTGAGAATTTTTTGCATGCGTGCCTTTAAAATTGGTCATCAGTTCTTTCTTTTTCTCTTATCGAGTGAACATCGAAAATGTTTAATTCTTTGTGACATTGTAACGTTTTATATTGATTCCACTCCCCAAAACCCATCGTCAGGATGGGCGCCTCTGCTTCCTTTTCAGTAATCCTTGGCTTGCACGCGATCAAGACCAAAAAAGAAAACAGAATTTGCAATTCTATTCAATATCTAGTCCCAGCCAATATACAGTAAGTTAGGGGGTAGTTTGGAGTGTAGCTACAGCCCCTCAAAAAATGTCCGCTACAAAATTGGCTCATGTGGCTCTAGAAAATACATTGAAGAAAAAGCGAATTATGATTTTTCATGTCCAAAATAACCATGTCCAAAAACTTCGAAGTAATTGCGAAACTATACAATGTACCTTTGACATCTTCTATCTTCCTCATTAGCAATATTTTATCAAGGAACCATTCCGCCCGAAGAGAGATATTTTTAAGTAAATAATCTGTCATACTTCTATGTAAAATTATTGAAGGATTATTTCTCTAGATTTCTCGGGATTTTTCCTCCCCAATTTTATAAATGACCATCATTTTAGTTATGTTTAGTAGAGACAAATAAGCGCGGCATTTAAAAATTCCACTGTCAGGTAGATTCTCAGTGGTATCTTGTTTTGAAAAATGTTGGGAGAAAAATAATGTCACTTATCTCTTGACGTGTCGATAACGAATCTGCTTCTATTTTCAACAGAAAAATTGAAAAATTATTCTTGGAAATTGACAGAAACCTCTGTTTAGAATATCAATCGATTTATTTCGTATCAATGAACAAGAGTGTTCCATAAAATAATATACATAATGAAAATTATAACATAATAATTAATAATATGAGTTATCGACAGCTAATCTGTGTCAACAATTTCACAACTGTGATATTTAGAGCTGGTCTCCAACCAGCTTTCCACGTCATTGGACGTAAGGTCGTCTGTTGATGGTAGCTCTGTTAGTGGTTCCATTTCGTTCTGGTAACAGTTCTGAGATGGGTTTCCGTTCTCTCGAGACTTGTGCCTGATCGACTCGTTTGAATATGTATCTGAGCACAACCCAAGACCTGAAATTTGAATCATCTATACTAATAAATGAGTGTGAACTGTGAATATTAATAAAGAAACTGAAAGACTCACTCTAAATATAAAATTCAATACAAATCTTGTTGCAACATGTTTCAACCCCAGGGGTGATCATCAGACTCATAGGTTAGGAGAATGATGAATCAATCCTGATGACAAAGTCAGTCACAAAGACAGAAAACTTTTTGTTTATCATGTTCCTGTTCAACAACAGAATGAAAACTGAGCAGTATCTGATCAACTCATTACACGGAAAACATTGTTTGTTCCTAGCGAGTTTGTTCGCTACTTCAATTCCCTGCTCTACTCCGGATGCCCCGGAACTCATAGAAGGGCGACTGTACTTTCGAAGTACTTGGTACGAGGCCCGTAGACTCCTATATTCCAGTTTATGGTTCCTTCTTTGAGCTCAATACCCATGAATTCACTGTTTCATTCTTTTTTCAGCTTAACCTCGTGGTGAATTGTTTCACGAAGCTGCACTTTTTCTTTATCTCATCCTGTGGAAGATGCTGGATTTGCTGGTTGAGTGGGCAGATTTGATCCCTTCTCTGATCATTCTGTATGTCGTTCTCTTTCCCGCATTCTCCACAATTAAATGTAGGATAGTGAGGTCTAGAATTACCTCCATTGCGGCAGTGGGACATGTTCTGATTGCTCTTTCAAATTTACCCTTGACGAGTATGACACTGTCATAGGCATAGCCGAGGTGAGTCAGCCCCAGAGTAGTTGGTCGACTGTGAGACTTCAACTCCTCCTTGCGGAGAGCCTCTGCTAGTTTGGGTGGAGAATAGGGATTGACAGTACCCCTATTCACCGAAATAAGTATAGGGAACTCAATGTTACGAGCAACAGCTTCAAAATATTGTAAGAATATTGTTATCTTCAGATTCTTCATGGAATCGTCTGGCAACTACAGCTCGTCTTTTATTTCTATCCTTATACAACGTGTTCGGTCTTTCGTTCTAAGCTGTCTCCTCTCTAGTCTTTCAAATGTTTCTATCCATATATCCTCGAAGTAGTTAACAGTCTTTAGCCTCTTCAGGAATGACGTTTCTCTGACAGTCACTTCAAATACTCGGATAACAAATTCTACTTTCACAGAGGCTATTAATTGCTGCGAAACGTTTGATTTTCAGATAAAAATCTGCATTGGAGTCATTCTGCTGTTGAAGCCAGTATCTTTGAATTTGTCAATATAGACACAGTTTGAAACTCCTCGATTTCCAGCAATTAAAAAAGTTATTTGACAAGCCTTCATTGCTGGGACAACCCTGACTATTGCATTGAACTAGATCTCATGACTAGGAGAACTAGGATGAACAGGGATATGAGATCTATTTCAATGAATAGGACTGGTGGATCATTCCACTCAAGTAGTCAGGTAGTGCCATCTCTCAGCAGAGTGGTTTGCTTGTAGTATCTAACGTTGTAGTCATAGGGGTTTGCACGTGTATAGAGCGTGCAGCGTCGTACAGATGGCGATAACATGAATAGATCATCATGTATTACTGGCGTTAAGCAATGCGTATGAATAAAATTGATCAAAAAATGTATCTTCTATAATACTTATTTAGATCAAATCTTCTATTTTTCGATTAAAATACTTCCATCAAGAGTTTCGTAACGTTTCTTATAATATGAATAAATTAGGTAGTTTTACCTCCGTTGGCTTTCTTGGACCGTATGGGCGACTTGTACTCGCCCCCCGAAGCCAGTGAAGATGTTATGCTGGGCAGCCTGATGTCCAGGTGCGACCCTTTGGCCGTCACGATCTTGTTGTTCATCGCGTACAGCTTGGTGGCGATGTCTCTGGCGATGATGGTGGTGAGCACGGTAGCGATGTAGGTGTCTTTGACGAAGAGGTACTCCAGAGAGGCGCGCTGCCAGTAGAGGTATCTGCAGGTGCTGGCCGCTACGATGGACACCTGATGAAATTGGTGGGAGTAGTTGGTCAGTATTTGTCGTTGAAACGTTTGGAAATCGAGATTTGTGTTGAATCATAGCTTTTGGAGTGTGAACTGTACAAAGCTACCAAAAAATGGGATGAAAAAGTCAGCTTTGTCACGATCTAGTTGTTCATCGCGAACAGACTACAGATTGTAGGTGTCTTTAACGAAGAGGTACCCCAAGGAGCCACGTTGCCAGTATAAGCATCTGAAGGTGCTGACTGCTACGATGAACATCTGATATAATTGGTGGGAGTGGTTGGTCAGTATTTGTCGTTGAAACGTTTGGAAATCGAGATTTGTGTTGAATCATAGCTTTTGGAGTGTAAACTGTACAAATATACCAAAACATGGGATGAAAAAGTCAGGTTCGTCTTGATCTTGTTGTTCATCACGTACATCTTGTAGGTGTCTTTGACGAAGAGGAACCCCAAGGAGCCACGTTGCCAGTTTAAGCATCTGCAGGTGCTGGCTGCTACGATGGACACCTGATGTAATTTGTTGGGGTGTTTGGTCAGTATTTGTCGTTGAAACGTTTTGAAATCGAGATTTGTGTTGAATCATAGCTTTTGGAGTGTGAACTGTACAAAGCTACCAAAAAATGGGATGAAAAAGTCAGCTTTGTCACGATCTAGTTGTTCATCGCGAACAGATTGTAGGTGTCTTTAACGAAGAGGTACTCCAAGGAGCTATACGTTGTCAGTAGAGGTATCTGCAGGTTCTGGCTTCTGCGATGGATACTTGATGTTTGAAAAGTTTGGAAATCGAAATTCGTGTGGTATCATAGATTTTGGGGTGGAAGTAGGTAGAAGATACCAAAAAATGGGATGATGATGTCAGGTTCAGTCACTATCTTGTTGTCCATTAAGTAGGGGTGGTTGGTCGATGTTTGCGTGGGGGAAACGTTTGGAAATCGGAATTTGTGTTGGGTCACAGTTTTTGTGGCGTGAACTGTACAAATGTATCAAGAAATGGGACAAAGAAGTCAGGTTCGCCACTATCTTCTTCATTTGGTGGAAGTGGTTGGTCAACATCTGCCGAAGAAACGTTTTGGAATTCAGAATTCGTGTTGAGTCATAACTTCTGAGGTGTGAACTATACGAAGGTACCAAGAAATGGGATAAGAAGTCAGTTTTTGGCATATGTCACTATCAATACGTGCGTTAGGACATCCGGTTTTCAGTGTTTTGAGGATGTCACTGGAATATCCCTGACACGTCTCCAAAGGACGTCTCTATCTGGTCAATAGGAGGGCCATTTGTGACGAAATAAAAGATTGTACTACTAGAATATTACTGGAAATAGTGTTGAAACATGATTGAAAACTGGTAAATGGTGAATAACTTCATAACTTCAACAGCGATTGTCATGAAGCGTATTGTTAATCGCATATTGGTTGGAATTGGTAGGGGGTACTATACACTATACAGGGTAACATTGAAATGAATACAAATATTTCAAACCCAAAGAAAACTTGATGAATGCTCTCGAATGACACGAAGGAAAACAATGTTGGGATCATAATAAAATTTGGGGTGAGACGTCTTTTTCCATCAAGATTTCTATACTATGGAAATTCTGGAATTCAATTATTTTATTTTGTCTTGAAGTGACATATTTGAATTTTTCTTCAATTAGAAGAAATTGAAAAATTGTGGGAATATTAGTTAGACTGTATCATATGGATATGCTGAATATGTGCACATACTTCAAAATCACCTTGTATATACTCACTTTGAATTTGTCATCTACAGTGTTTCTGCTTGATTCGAATTCGGGCGAATCTAGAAACTCGCAGGGCAAAATTGGATGCAGAAACTGATTATCTGAGAGTACGTTCACCTATAAAAAATAATTTGACGATAAAAATCAAACTTTGGTCATTATCAGTTTCTAGATCCCTAAGATGATACTCTTCTCAACTTCCAGACTATACCTATATATTTAGAGGTAATAACAGCATCTTTCTCATTCCTCATTTGTTGATTTTCTTTCGTGCGCTTCAGCAGATAAAAAAAAACGACCTAATACTTCAAATGACTCAATAACGTACCTATGTTATTATAACATTGGATTTGTTTTGTGATTCAGATAGGTTGATTTGGTCATCAATTATGTTGCGTGTTATTCTGAGACAGTTGCATTCCGATACAAACCTATAATTCTGCCAGAGGAAATTGAATGACTTATCAAGGTGCTAATCTTAGTAACCGAATTTACATAAAAATAGAGCGTGTCCATCACTGTTAATGAACGTCCTTGATTGTTAATGAAATAATCGTGAATGGGTACGAATCGAAACAGTATTCATTAGGACTTCATCAAAAACTCATGTAAACTGAGTGTGTCAACCTCAACTTATGTTGAAGACAACATTAGTAATTCTTCTCTGATTTTCAATGACAAGAAGAAATCTGTGATAGGTGTCAAATATTACTATTATTTTAATATATTTGTAGGGAGGATGACCCCAGCCAGATATCTATCTATTTACAACTCATCTTGTATGGTATCCTCTTCTCTCTTCAGTTTCCAATCTCTCATGTCTTCAAAATTTTTGTGTTTTCGCCACCGTAAAAAATAGAATATGTATACCCTCAGGACAGAATGCAATTTTTTACTCGGTACTTTGTATCTCTCGGGCTTCGCACTAGAACTACAAATCGCACCTTGGAAACAATCTTGCATTTCTTGTACTATTCTATATCGAAAATAATATTTGTATAATACCGATGAAGAGTTGATATATTCATCACGAGGAGAATGCGAATACTCCATGTATTTCTTCACATATATCGATTGTTTCATATTAATAACATATCTGGGAATATTCCTTTTCAATACTTTCATTTGGAAATTGGGTTCTCTCAATTCACAATTTTCTTTCCACGCCCTGAATGATGAATATGAATTTGTCATGCATCCCAACATTCCTTTGTTATACTTTCAAATCGATTTGAACAGCGTATCAGTCACTATCGAGAAATATTCTTGGAAAACTTTAATAACCACTCACCTTTCCCGATAGAAGAAGCCCAAGCCTGTCAGTTCTTGTCAGATTTTGAACAGCGTATGCCTCCCCAGCGTGCAGAGACATTATTTGGGCGAAATCTGCACTCACCATCCTCTTGAATTGTAATCTAGAAAGCTTCATAAAGATTTAGTCATGGCTTGGACGATGTTTTGATGTATGTTCTCACCTTGAAAGGCTCGAATAGAACGTGATAGGCTTCTTCTAGCTCAGGATCGAATTTGACAGGTCTAAGCTGGTACACGATATGGAAGACTTGAGCCATGTTCATCAACATGAAAGCGAAGTTCCAAGTGAAGACGTCTGGGGCACAAATCACATTCCAAGCCCATGTTGAAAATAGCAACAAACCTTTCAAAAAAAGTGTTTCGATCACTGAAAAAGTTTGGTTAACTCATATTGCTGAAACATATTACTTGTGTTTCAGAAATATAAGGATAATTATGTGATAAAACTCCAAGGATACCCTTTGAGATACCATGGGCTTCAGGAGTTTCTCTTCTAAAAGAGAATCACTTTTGCATTATATTTTTTTCAATTTCACCAGGAATAGTACGTGGTTTCAGTAATGAAATTGGTTATAGAAATTATTACCGAAAATCAACCAGCAATGCATAAACAGCACTCCTCTTTTGGAACATGTGGAAGAGTATGCTAACACGAAACAAAAATTTGCAAGTTGATAAAGAATATGTTGAGGGTCTTTCCAGTAGTCGCAAAAGGGCCACCAAGTTCCTAGAAGAAAAAATTGGTATAATCATATTGAATATTCTAAACAAAACAAATTGGAATAGGTTCCAGAGATTGGAATGAACAAAGACAATTCCATATAATACTATTCGTGAAAATTGCAGTATTAACTGATGATTTAAAATATATATGTTGCTGAAGCAGTCGATGGGATCATGGTCTGGTAGCTTTGGTGGCTAAATCTATTATAATATTATATATATGTGAATATGGGGTCTATCTGTTAATTTCAATCATCAATACCCATTTCCCAATTAGATGAGCATACAAGTACTCAACATATCAGATAACAACAAATCTAGTAACGAATACTTGAACGCTCTCACCTGATGGTATGGTATAGGAAATATTTTTTTCTCCATTTGGCCAGGAACTGTTGACTATTGGGGCAACAAACAGAGTGTGGGATCTCTCTTCGTTAGGCTGAAGCCCACTTTCGGGAAATGAAGGCATTTTTAGTTGTAGCAATATCTTTTCGACATAATCAACAAACGTAATTCTATAGTGTTTGCTTGGTGTTTCTGTCTTTGGACATTTTTCTATCCTACTTTCAGAATTACAAATCGATAGTTTAGCGCCACACAGATTATGAATTTCTGTTCTGATAGAGGTTGGTTTCCATTGTGATTATAAAGGTGGCGTTGCTATACTAGATTCGGTCGTTATCCCTTTGAATTGGGCATATCCTTTATCCTTCCCCTTGATGGTTATGCTGCATGAAAAGAGGGTGTGAAGTAAGGGTTGCATAACTCTCAACTGAATGTTGTAGAATATATGAAGCTTATATATCATCGTATAAATCACGTGATCCATCTAATATGATATCACAGAATACTTACGAGAAAAAAGTTCGAGAAACATGTTTGTGAAAATTACTCCAGTTCAGACTGCTCTTCGCTCCGGGAACATACATACTGGATTTATATGTTTAGAAACAATTTTTATGCTCTACGCCAAATACTAATTCATATTTTATTCTATATGTTATGTTTTCATTGTCTTGCTTTGCTTTTACTTGATGAAGTCTTATACATGTACCTCGATTTAGTGATTTAATATGAATGATAAATCCCTTGTGATATTGAGCAGTCAGACACACATGTAAATTGATGGAAATAAATTCTACTCCGCCCAAAATTCTACTCCATTCGAATAAATCTGCTATCATAATTTAATTCCTTGATTATATTAAAATGTAGTTGCAGAATCAATTTGAACACATCTACACAGATTCGTTCCCGAAACATCTTAAAATAAGTAAAAATTTGATGTTTTTTTCAAGTACCTTCATTTCTGTTCTCCAAATTGTTCTCAAAACAAAGTGTCATTGACAAGCAAATGAATTTTTCTTTTAGGGTCTCTGATAGAAACATTTTTGAACGCAGGGACATTCTGGGGCACCATCTGGTGTGTCCTCAATACCTATACGTATAATGAAATAGTACTCATATTTTTATTCTATAGAAATGAGGAGAGGAAATCCCAAAAAATCTGGAATAATGAAATTAATGAATTCATTCAAAATAAATTAAGGTACTTCTTCTTAATTCCCATATGTTTCCGATAAACTTGCCGCAGTAATAATCTCGTTCTTCATATTATAGTGATAAAATTTAGAACCAAGGTACCTATATAATCTTTCAGACAGTAGGTATAATTTTCTGGGTATCTGATATAAAGTCAATTAGAATTCGTGCTTGACTATTTTTGATTTTTGGATTAGAATTAGTATCATTGCAAATGCGAAATGTTCTGGAGATATTGATATTAACACGTCACCAGATATCATGGCATTATTGAGCCAGTTAACAAACGTAGCTTAAGTTATTAAGAAAAATATATTAAATAATACCAAAGGGTGAACGGATTATCTAGTTTGTTATCTAGACACAAGTGAATATTACAAGTGATTTGTCAATAATTGTTTCAAATAAAACAAATACCATTGCCATTGGAGCATATTATTAATATTTGGCTCATGCGTTTTTTTTTAGGAATACACGTGTTTTCTGTAAACAGAAAGAAACATTCGATGTGTCATTTTGCATGTTTACTGAATACACCTAAGCAAATACAGATAGGTCTTAATTAAATCTGATCCTCAGTGAATCGTCACTGTGTCAGTCCTGATTATATCTAAAATTCAGCAGCAATAATGTCAAGATATCTATATTTAATAATGGATTGGTTCGATTCATATCGAGAAGAAGGAAGAAGATTCGCCTCATTCGAACAGATATGTTATTCAAGCACAGATTCAATGATTCTGTGTTGACAGTGTCTCAGCTCAAGATCAACAAATTCAACTGATCACAAAATCTGATTAATCAAGTGACTGTGAACAAACTTAATGTACTTATAATAAGAATTCATCCAAGTGGGTTATATTATACTGCTCCATGATAAGTGAAAAACTGGAAATATAAACGTATTAGTATAGGTAGTACAAATTCGGATGATGCTTGTACAATTAGGATTAATATATAGAGTCGGAAATTCAGCTTGTTAAACAAAACTGTTGGCGTCCTTTCCAAAATACTCTTCGCAAAAATGGTTTTTTCCCAATTCTGATTAACAGGAAAGATTCGATCATATTGTGTGATACATTCTTGTAATCCGAAAAAAAAAGACTTTTCAAAAATGTAAAAATCCAATATGGCGCCCATGAGGAAAAACAAAGTTGTTTGTTGTAACTTTGGCATCAAGGACGTCATGGAAAATACAATGACAGATTCAGATTGCTTGTAAAAAGTGCCTTAAGAATGTCCCAGTCAGAAACGTCTAGGTCTTTTGGTTTCCGCTTGAAGAAATGAAAACGAAATTTATTAACTTTCGTTTTCTTTTAATAATTCAAAAACTAAAAATGACTAATCGAATTTTCTTGCAGATAAATATTCAGCATGAAAATGCGCAACATTGCCCTGATTTAACCGACCTCTTATAGTGTAGTGTAGTTTATTCGACCATGTTATGTAAATTACATGTACGGCAAGTCATAATTACAATAGCCATAGTGCTTGAAAATAAAGATAATCTTCACCCTCAATCACTAAAGTGCAGAAATAGATGAATTAAAATACAAGAATACATGATTAAAAATACACGATAAGTATGTTGAAGATGAAACATCAAATGGACTGAGTAAAATATATAAAACAAAAAATAAGATAAAAATGAATGAGAACAAAACATAAAAATATAACAATGTCCTGTTGAAGGGATTGATAAAGCTTCAGAGCACTTGCTGACTCCATATAGGTATCAATATTATGAAAACAATGGCTTAAAAGGAACTGTTTGATGACAGATTTGAATTTTTTGAATTCCAACATTCTGACGGAGCTGTGGAGAATATTATGAATATTGAAATTTAAAGAGTTTCTGCAGCTAACAGCTAATCTGTGTCGTGGGGTTCTCAATTAATTAGCCGATCTTGTATTTTGACTATGAAAGTTAGACTGTTTACCAAATTCACTCACATTTTGGTGTATTTCCAGCAAAACTGTGAATATGTATAAGGTAGGCATTGGCATGATACCAAGCTTAATGAAATGTTGCTGACAGTGATCTCTATAGCCTAAGTTTGTCAGTATTCGTATATATAGCTTTCTTCTGACATCTGAAAACTGCTATAGCATTTGTTGAATTGCCCCAGAGTAAAATACCGTATGACAGTACAGAATGAAATAATGAAAAATATGAAATTCTTAAGCTGCCAAGATTTCGTACTACATGATCAACATGATTGAACCAGCTCAGTCTGTCGTCTATGGTGAGGCCTAGAAATTTCACACTTTTTCCCTCTTGAAAGTTTGAGTTCGAGGAAATCAATAAATTCTGAGTTTTGTTTTTATTGAGCTTGAGTTTATTCTGATTGAACCAGTTTTTGGCTGAAATTAGTTCTCTTGATGCAGATACAATTAAGTCCGTATATGATTTTCCTGAGAATACAAGAGTTGTGTCATCGGCAAATTCGGTAGGCGCAATAAACTGACATAAATCGTTGATGTAAACGATGAATAAAAATGGTCCAACGACCGAGCCTTGTGGTACCCCATATTCGATTAGTTTGTAATCAGACTTAACATCATTCATTTCCACACACTGAATCCTGTTGTGGAGGTACGAATGAAGCAGCTGTAAGGCAATGCCCCTTATACCGTAGTATTCCAATTTTTCAATGAGCAGAGTGTGCGATACGCAGTCAAAGGCCTTCGTCAAATCACACAGTGTCAATGAAGTATGTCTACCTTGATCGAGGCCCTCCACTATGTCTGTCACAATTCTGAAGGCAGCCTGAGTTGTGGATTTGTTTATGCGGAAGCCATATAGTGACCAACTGAAATAAAGTCTAGTTTCAAAGTAGGAGTAAAGTCTTTCTTTTGAGATAATTTCAATTACTTTACTAATGATGGATATGATACTGATAGGACGATAATTATCCATAGATGATTTGTCCCCTTTCTTGAATAATGGTATTATTTCGAAATTTTTAGAATATCGGGAAAGATTCCTTGGTTAAAAATTAGATTAATAAGTTGAGTTAATGGCGTGACGATAAATTCAGCAGCTACCTTAGTCAATTGACTGTTCAAATCATGGATGTCACGAGAGTTGGAATCGCTCAATTTATTGATGGCAGCAAAAACATCTTGGCAACATACTGGTTCCAAGAAAAAAGAGTTGGCTGGTTGAGGAAAATTTATGAAGTTGTAAGATGTATCAGAGTCCATGTTGAGAAGAGATCTAATAGTCTTTTCAGCTACTGTACAGAAAAAATCGTTAAAGTCATTATTTGAAAATTCACTAATGGTATTTCTGCAATTATACTTATTTCTTTCGAGATTTATTATATTCCAACATGCCTTTGATACATTTGGAGAGTTAACTAACTATATATCCATCATATGATGCTTTTTTATGTTTCAATAGTTCGGAATTATATTTTTTCTTCATAATTTTGAAAGCTGCAATATCATCTGAACTCCCAGACACCTCAGATATTATTTTGATAGCTTCTAGGTTATTTTTCATATTTTTAAGATCATCATCATACCAGTTTATCTTGAAATTAATTTTACTCCGAGGTTTTTTCTTCACAGGAAAAGAGACTCTGATAGAATTTTGGAGTGCATCAATGAAGAATTCGCATAGATAGTTAATATCACGATCTTGAGAATCTAATATACTCCAGTTTAACTCAGAAAGTATTGATTTGAATGTATTCAATCCAGCTTGTGTTATGGAAAATCTAGCTATCTCATCATTTCTGTTATCAAATCTTGATATCATAGTTAAAAATTGAGCTTTATGATCAGATAAGCAGGGCTCTAGAATGCCTACCTCAATACTTTGATTCAAATCTGTAATTATCTTATCAATGCAAGTTGAAGATGTTGATGTATAATAACTGAGACCCCCATGGTGCAGCTCGGACACCCTGTATAGGTGAATATTC